CGTTAATCTATAATGCCGTGTTTACCTGTATGTTCGTTAATCTATAATGCCGTGTTTACCTGTATGTTCGTTAATCTATAGTGCCATGTTTACCTGTATGTTCGTTAAACTATAACGCCGTGTTTGCCCGTATGTTCGTTAATCTATAATTCTGTATTTATCTGTATGTCCGTTAATCAATAATGACATATTTATCTGCATTTACGTTAATCTTAACGATGTTGAACTGTTGTAAAATAAATCAATAAGCCAAGTAAAATCGTCGCTTGCAGCTTTTTTTGCTTACCGGAAGCCATTATTTTTGTATTCTCTGTGTAGAGAAAGCAGGTATACAGTTTCTCCAGATGAAAATATTGATGCTTTAATTTTACTGAATGTCATGACAAACGTACGTGGTCATGATCGATCATTGCAACCGTTCTGGATACCAAACAGATTAGGATTATGCATTACCGGGAAACCAAAACCTGGGTTCATTTCCAGTTATCAATATTATTAAATATTAATAATTGTATTATAGGTTATAATTGATAAATTGGCTACTAGTACTATGACTACTGCTTTTCTTGTCTCTTACCAAAAAATATAGCATAACTAAAAATATGCAACACCACCATTTTGAAATGCGCCTCTTTTCTAAAAATATTATTAGCTAAAACCCATCACTTTTTGTTCGCACTATATTGATATTAATCACAATTACACATATAGTAACAGATAGTCACACACTGCGCATAATAAAGCGTTTGCAGAATTAACAAATTATATTAAATTACATTCAGAATGTAACAGAGTAATTCTTCACTCTGTGCATCTATAGGCCTACGTAACATAGTTGAGTTTGCAGTGTTCGCTAATTAACACTTTAATTAACTTAATTAACATCGTGTTTCCTCTAATATTGTGTCCAGTGTTTCTCTCCGTCCTGACTGCGGTCGTTCCTCACTCGCGTGCTTCTGTCTGTAGTTAATGCAGAGGGCGCCACCCTGCAAGACTCCACTCACGATACATGAGATTCCAGAAAGGATAAAAACGGGTCTTATGTCGCCATCGTAGCGGTCCATGAGAAAACCTGCGGCAAAATCCATGTTCACGTTAGCCTATTTCCAGGAGTCTATTTCTAAGAGATAAGATCTATCACTCGTCATAATCCTGAAGCCTTAGATTAGCCTATCAATAGGTTATATCGAGTTTACTACAGCTAAATGTGTTTACCGGCTGCCACTGGTCCAGTCAAAATGCCTATGCCGCCGAAGAGTATGTAGATAGGCTGCACCATCGGTAGATTCTGTATGCCGAATAGGTCTACTAGTATAGGTATCTGCATGCTCACTCGTACGCCATAGCTAGTTCCGTACAGCACACAGCAAAGTGCAAACGCCCACACCGTCTCCGCACGCAGAAACATAAGGCTGATGATGCCGTCAACAAATGGTGTGAAACCGAAGATCAGATGACGTGGAAACCATCGCCTATCTCCTACGGCTGCCACTAGGAAGCGACTGATGGCATTGCTAACTTGCAGCATGGTCAGCATCTGAGCAGCACGCGTGAGACTCATGCCCCGCCTGGTGCCAAGTAGAACGCAGTACGTGATCAGTGTGGACCCACCAATTATATACGCAATGTTATTGAAGCAGTAAGTGCCGAATTTTATCATATCGGCGATTGTCATACCGAGACGGGTGTTTCTGTCTTTTCTACGCTTCTTTAGTTCTTCTTTGGCGGCTCTAGGTATTCCCCGAAACATGGCAGCAGCTGCTACAGTTTGTAGATACATGCCACCTAGAATGAACATCGTTCCATGCCAGGTGTAATTTTCTATGAGCGCGACACACAATAGAGGACCGCTCAGCGATCCAACTGCTGATGCTGTCTGTATGAGACCCGTTGCCAGGGAGCGTTTCTTGTCGAAGTAAAGTGCGCCGATTACCTGTGAGGGTGTGTAGATCATTGACATGCCAAACCCTGCGAACAAACAGATTGTCTAGCAATACAGCGTCTGTTAATAAGCCAAGATGTCTCACCTGTGAATATCCACTGACCCTTAATATTAAAAATGCTATATAATAGCATAATCGGTAAGCCAAGCAATATACCTAATTCTCATTAAAAATAAATAGTTTCCGTTCGTAGATATATATATATATATATATATATTAATTATATATATATATAGAGAGATAAGATATAGGATGATAGAAGTAGATAGATAGATAGGATAGAAGATAGATAGATAGATTAGGTATAGGATAGATAGATAGATAGATAGATAGATAGATAGATAGATAGATAGATAAGATAGAATAGATAGAAGATAAGATTAGATAGATAGATAGATAGATAGATAGATAGATAGATAGATAGATATATAGATGAATAAATATATAGATAGATCAATCAAATATACAACACACACAAATATATATATATATATATATATATATATACACGTCAGCAGTAAACAATCTCAAAGAGATAAAGATTTGAGGTTATTTACTCCTGATAGATCTGTATAATATTTACAGTGAACGATAGTTGTGGGATTAATTTTATTTATATATTTGCAATGCGATGACATTTTGCTCTCAGCTCTATATGCTTTCTTTGAAATAACCACCATTCTCGCTCATCCTCACTCACCTGTCAGTAGACCGTATGCCCCGATCAGTACATATATGTTTTCTGCTCCGTAGCTGAGACACATTCCGCCTGCAGCCAGCATCCCTCCTGTCATCACTATCACCCGGTAGCTGTGGTCATCAGCCAGCAGGGCGAACGTGGGACCTGATCGCAAGGGTAGAGGTATGACAATACGATAGAAAATCGATAGGATTTTTCTTCTGTTTATTTCACTCGCTCTCTCTCTCTCTCTCTCTCTCTCTCTCTCTCTCTCTCTCCTCCCTTCAAGTTCTCTCAACCCCTTCTCTCTTTCTCAAACACACTGACACACACATACATTCGCACTCTCTTTTTCTTTCCCTCTCCCTCCTGCTTCTTCTTCTTCTTCTCTCTCTCTCTCTCTCTCGCCCTCTAGGCCTACCTCTTTATTTTTCTCTCTCGCTCGTTCTCGCCATCTCACTCTCTTTCTCGCTCGCTCGCTTGCTCTCGCAACCTCTCACTGTCTCAATCACACTCAACTTCACCCCCTATCGCACACTCCTTCTCTCGTATGTTCTCTCTCTTTCTCACAAACACCCTCACTCATTCTCCCTCGCTCTTCTCTCGCTCCTCACATATTTCTCTCTCCTTCTCTCTCTCTCTCTCTCTCTCTCTCTCTCTCTCTCTCTCTCTCTCTCTCTCTCTCTCTCTCTCTCTTCCCTTCAAGCTCTCTCACCCCCTCTCTC